GCCGCCTCAGCATGGCTTGATGAGTGGTGCTAGGTCCTCGCCCAGGATCTGAACCCATGAAGCCCTGGGCCGCCAAAGCACAGCAGGCAAACTTAACCAGTCAGCTACTGGGCCGGCCCCATGTGATTGTGTTTTTAAAATCAATAATTAGTTATCTCAAATATGTTGATGTAGGCAGTGTCTCTCATTCCACAGGAGATATCAGAAAAATCTCTATTTCCTTTCAAATGTTTAAGAAATTAAGAAATGGAAGTAGACACTAAAATAAGTTATCTAACCATATTCTAATGGGCCTGCAAAACTTACTCAATAAATAAACATTATACTCTCATTCCAGTTGACCTTGATAAAAACATTGCTAAGCCATGATCTTTATTGTGTATTTAGAAGTATGAGCTTCTACCCAGTTGAGACCATAAACGGGGGGAAAAGCCAAAAGCCACAAGAGAGAAAACATTTTGGTCAACTTTGTGCTTGCTGAGCTGTTTTCCCTCATAAAATTTACAGATTAAGGGACATATTTCTATACATGATCACAGTCCCCAGGGGTAGCGGTAACCAAATATATATTACTTTTATTTAAGAAATGCTTCTCTATTACTTGCTTATTTTATAAACAAACACACGCTCACTAACTATAATCTCCTGAACTTTAAAACATTTTTCTCACAGGCTAAAACTTTCTGTATTAACTCTTATTTCCTTGTTTATTGGAGATTTCATAGACACTACGTGAGAAAATAGTTGTTTTCTCTTGCTAACGACCAAGTGGGAAATTCCTACTGTTTAAACATAATCATGAATTAGAATCTAATTATAGTAGAAACTACTCTGGAAGGAATAGCGTCTATGGAGCTTGTGAAGAACTGTAAGTGTAGAAGCAGAGTGAGGGAAAGAGAGAGTACGGTTCATACACTCTGCCTTCCACGGGTGGTTCCTGACATAACATTAGGTGGCTCAAGGACAGGGAATCAAATAATATTGAATCATACACGAAGTTATTAACTGTTTAGTTCTTTCTCACACCTTGTGTTACCATTGAGGAGAAAGTTTGCACCTAAGGACAATTTTCGTGCCCTTTTAACACTTGCTAAGCTTCCTTTTCAACAAAGAGAGAGGGCCTCAGGCAGAATATAGAATAAAACAAGACATGAGCAATATTTTGTTTTCATTGTATCTGTTTAGGGCAAGTGAAAGTGATTTTTCATCAAGATGGTAAGATAAAGTTTCTTTTAAAAATAAATTTGTTTAGATAGAAAGTAAGCTAATTGAAATAAAAATATTGAATAATAAAGGTGATGCATAAATATGGCAAATATTGTGAAGTGACTGAGTTTGGAATATACTTTTAGAATCCTCTAAATAGAGAGGAGACCATCTTCGCCCAGACTTCCTCTATTCTTTTATCTTCCTTTCCACCCCTCTTTTCTTTTCTACCCTCTATCATTCAACAAGATGTATTGAGCCACTAGGTAAAGTATTTGACACTGTGCTGGGCACTGAGAACCCAGAAATATAAAGATTAATACATCATCGTCATTTTCAACCTGCTCAGTTTCACTGGAGACACAGATATGCAAACAATGATGATATAGTGAGAAATGTCATGTGTGTGCAAGGTATGGTATAACCCAGAGGAGGGATAACCATGTGGGATGCAAGGGGAGGTGTCGGGTTTTGACCTTGGGAATCAGTCCCATAAAATATAGTCCAATTTCATAAATATATGTTTAATTTATTCAGCAAACTTCTATTGAGCCAGACATTGTGTTAGATACTGAGGATTTGGACAGGAAAAAACACAGTCAAAGTTTTAATAAGCTTTCAATTACAAGGGGAGACAAGGAAAGCAATGGTTATACAGATCTATACGCCTTATCTGAGACTCTTGGAGGCAGATGTGTTTCACAATTCTGAATTTTTAGAATGTTAATGTGATGCACAAACTGTATATTACATAACACTCATTAAAGGGGCTGGGGCAGTACCTCCAAATTAAAACATGAACATTCACTAAGTGGAATGAAGACTATAGCTAGCCTCATACCAATTCAGTGTAGGTTGTTGGTTTTTTCAATTTTTAGGATTTCCAAATTGTAGAAAAGTGTGAACCTATTCTTCAAAATAACTATACGCTGCAGGGTGTTTTGGAAGAACAAAGGCAGGCCAATGAACCACATTTTAACAGAAAAAGGGGCAGGAAGGCTTCCTTAAAGATATATTTTCTGAATGGAGTCTTGCAGGATGAATAGGAGCTAACCAGACAGAGAAGATGGAAGAGGCAGAGGATTGGAGGATGAGAAGAAGGGTTTCCTAGGCAGTAGGGACAGCCTGTAGAAAGACAATGGCCTTGGCGGTGGTGGGGGAACCACAAGTAATTCAGAATGGCTGTGTGTGCACTGTGCTTGAGACAGAAATGGAGAAGGGCCTGGAGATGGAAATGCTGAGGCAGAATAGCTATGATCAGGTGGAAGCAGTGGCCAGGGCGGGATGCTTGCTAAGCTAAACCTCTATCCTGAAGGATAAAGAGAGTTACTAAAAGATTTTAACAGTGTGTAGCCATGTGAACAGATTTGAAATTAGAGGAGAATCATAATATTGGATGACAGAGCTGATGCGCTATGCAAAATGAAGAGGAAACTGTAGTTGTCTCTGCAGAGATTATGAGAAAATGCAGCTGGCATGGTTTGGCTCATAATAATTGCTCAACAAATTGCAGCAATTAGAAGGTCAAAGGCAGGGATGTGGTAGGGATGGATAAGAGGGGATAATTCATAAATCTCTCAAAGAATTATTCAGGACTCAGTATCTGATTGGACTGAGAGAGACGAGGGTGGAGTCTCCTCCCCTCCAAGGCCTCCAAGCCTCCCCCTGGCTTCGAGGTGCGTTGCTTGGCGGTGCTACTAATAGGCTAGGGAATGCTGGAAGAGGACATGGTTCTGTTGTCCTCCGGGTAGAAAAGGAGAGAGGATGTGTTCCATTTTGGACATGATGAAATATGGGTTAGGGACTCAGGGAGATTGTCTTAGTTGGATTTGGGAGTTGTTATTTGATAGCCCAAGGCTTAATATGGATGAGATCACAGAGAGACAGTGCATGGTATGAGAAGCAAGGAAGACTGAGGTCAGCATCCTAGAAAATACTTTAGAGAAAGGGAAGGGAACTGACTGCCATGTTAAGTGCCCTTGAAAGATCAACTGAGATATGGTCTAGGAAAATCCTTCGTGGACATGGTAAATAGAAAGACAACTGCGATTTGAGAGGAGCAGTTTCAGTCGATGAGGAGGGCAGAGGCCCGATGTCTATGAATAAAGGAATGTGCAAGTGAGAAAGCAGGGGTGCTGCGCCAACTACAATCTTTTAGATACCTGGCTGTGAAGGGATGGACACAGAGAACAAGGACAAAATTAAAGGCAATCATGGACTGAAAGGAAAGATTTTTGGTTAGTTTTAGTCTTCAAAGGCAAGAGAGAAGCTGCCAGACTCCCAGTTACTTCTTATAGTGAGTTTTTTCGGTTGTGGTGCAGGCTGCCCCTGGAGAGGTAGTGTCTTTAGCCTGAACACAAGTATTTCTCAGAAAAAGACAGCCAGATGAGCAGACTGGACTGGGACAGCTCTGCAGGAAAGCACGCTTTTCTGGGCTCATCTCCCAGGTGCTGCTTCTTGGGCTCACTTCCTGTAGAGCTTTTGCAACTTCCTTCCTCTATTGTCGACCTGGTTGGCTGCTTGCCACTGGTTTAAGATAGTTCTTATGGCTGTCTTGTAAAATACCTGCGTGTGCGCAGGATTTACCAAGGTGATGCTCTTCCCAAGCCACCCCACCCCGCTCCTGTAGCCTGTATTGTCTGCTTCACACATTCCATTTAGCTATTTGCAGCTAAATTCCCACCAATTCCTATGAGTGGCTGAGGAGATAAAGCACGAGGCTGGACACATTGGAGACATAAGAGGACACGGCATTTGCCTCCATGGGCCATATAATCCAAGGCATGGGAACGTCTTGTAAATAACCATAAGCGGCTCTTAAACTTTTGGAGATATATACATCTCTTTGAAAAGCTGATGAAAACGATGTACTTCTCCCCATTACACAGCACACAGAATTTAACCTAAAATTTCAGAGGGCTTGTGGACTTGCTAAATTCTAAAGTGGCTTTTCAAACTCAAGTTAAGAATGCCCAAACGATAGAGTCATTGGTGCTCTATTAGTTTGTGACCTCAGGGGCCGGCCCGGTGGCACAGTGGTTAACTGCGCACGTTCTGTTTCAGCAGCCCGGGATTCGCTGGTTCGGATCCCGGGTGTGGACACGGCACCGCTTGGCAAGCCATGCTGTGGTAGGCGTCCCACATACAAAGCAGAGGAAGATGGGCACGGATGTGAGCTCAGGGCCAGTCTTCCTCAGCAAAAAGAGGAGGAATGGCAGCAGTTAGCTCAGGGCTAATCTTCCTCAAAAAAATAAATAAAAAAAAAAAAGTTTGTGACCTTAGCTAAAATAACGCTTCTGAGACTCAATTTCCAGATTGCGCCGCCTGTCTTGCAAGGATTTTGTGAGGACTAAATGAGATAATATGAATGAGGAGCTGAGCACATAGCCCAACACAGAACTGATGCCAATAAAATTTCATCGTTATGTGTGTTATAGAGGAAGTGAGCTAGGTGTTAATGAAGTGGTATAGTTAACTCACTGCTCTCTGGTTAAGGAGTTATTCTGGCATGTAGTTGTCACAAGCTGATGAAAACGTTGTTGTCAGTTTCCCATATTTCAGTTGTTTCCCACCTACCTCTAGAATTTTTGCTTTACCTCAGTGCCACCTGAACTATTACTTTATTTATGGGGAGGTTTTTTTTTAGCTATTATATACTTGCTTTAAAAGGAAACTTTGGATCCCCACCATAAATAGAAAACTACTTTCACTTGCCATAAATAGAAAGTACCAGTAACAATAAAACAACGAAAACTTAACAACGCTATAAATTCTAGTTAGATATCAGTGCTTACCTAGGGCTTTGAGCTTGAGGTCGACTCTCTGATAAAAAGAGAATTTAGCGAGTGTGTGAGAAAGAATACTTTCTTGGAATCAGAAGACCTGAAAGAGAATTGAAAAGGGGGTAACTTTCTCCCCAGAGTGATTCGCTGTCATTTAATGCACTCTGCTGGGAGCACCAATTAAACGCAGCTCCCCTGACTCCCGTCATAGGCTCTCCCTTTGGGAGACACTAATGTGAGGGGCAGTTGCCTTGCTCCGCACCCGCACCTGAATAACAAGTTCTGTGCGGGCAGCATCCTGAATCCAACTGTCCTCAGCCTTGTCCAGAACAGGAGCTCCGCGAAGCCTTGCCACTTGAGTTCCTAGAAAGAAGGACACTCAGAGGTCCTGGCCCCTATTTCCTCGCTCAGGGCCCACCTCACATACCAGAGGGCTCCGGAGTTTTATTTTTTCATTGGACAGGGAGCTGAGGCAATCTAGGTGCTGCTGGGACCTCGGTGGGTGGAAGGGACGCTATGGACATTGTTTCGAAGCTGTGTGCCTGGCAAACACTGCTTCTACAGGGATTGTATGCTGTAGATTAATCATAATAAAAAAGCAAAATTGCCTAACGATGATTTTATTTGCTTAGGCTTGAATAAGCATCAATTAATCAGATAATCAGAGATTATTTTGTTATTCTAATGGAGGTGCCCAATGGAACTCTATTCAGTAGCCCACAGGAAACGACTTGTCCTCCCTCCCTTCCGGGAGCTTGCTCCGCTCCCCACTCCCCAGGTAAGGCCAGACGCCCCTCGGCCCCTGCCCCTCCGCCCGGCCGCTGCTCAGCCCCGGGGCGCCGGCCGACTGTGCATGCTCACCGGGCTGGGTGGGCGGCCAGCGGGGAGCGGGCTCAGCCGGCCGCCGCGCCCCTACCTGAGCCGGGCCCGCCCCCAGCGCACCGGCCCGGGCGGGCACCTGGCGGGCGCTGCGGCCCCAGCAGGCGGAGGGAGGAGACGCCGCGCGGGGCGGACGCCGCGGGACCGCGCTTGGCCTTCCTGAGCCGCGGCCGAACTTTTCCCCAAGAAGTCGCACGTCTCGGGGCAGGAGGAGCGGGGCGGGGAGGGGAAAGCGGAGTTCCTGGAAGAAGCGGCAGTCGCAGCCCCACAACATGGCCTCCGCCACCTCCTCCTCCTCTCCAGCGGGCGCCGAGAGCGCCCCTCCTGCGCAGGTGAGCGCCGCGCCGCCCCCCTACCTGTGGCTTTCTTCCCGGGCATTGGGGCGCGCAGGTGGCCGGGGCAGGGGTCCCAGGAGCCGCGGAGGCGCAGGGGCGCTGCTTGCAGCGCGGCCCTCCTGGGGGTGCCGGGGGGATCTGGGAAGGCGGCTGGAGGGGGACCCGATCCCTGCGGGTCGTGGGGGTCTTGGCTGCGCCCGAGGACGCGGGACTGAAGTTGCGGCGCAGGGCACAGACCGAGCTCGCAGGCTGCCCCAGCGCCCGCGCATCCCGAGGAAGGAGGGAGAGCCCAAGGATTTGGGGGTTCTGCTTCGAAACATTTGCCTAGAAGAAGAAAAGTGCGGCCCAGGGCTCGGGACGCCCTCACCTCTGTCTCCCGTCTTTGGGCTTCTCTGTTCTTGGCTCGCCCCTCCAACTCCGTGCCAGGCTGAACCCTTCCTAAGGACACGACCGAAGTAGGCTGCGCGTTTGGCGGGGAGGAAGAAGTCACCTGGTTCTGAAAGTTACCTTCAGAGTTAGGCTTGTTTTTTCCCCCTCCTGTTTTGAAGGCGAGTCGAGATACTTCCTTTAAACCCAGTGAGAATACAAAATATACTTTAAAGATTGGGACATAGATAAAGTGCAGATCCGAGCGGAGAGAGTGGCAGTGCCTGGGGTGGCTTGTGATGGGGTTCCTTCTTCTCTGATCTTTTCGAGTCTTCCATAGACACGATAGTAAAACACGCACGAAGTAAAAACCGGCGCTTGATGTGCGAAACCGCAGTTTCAAGGTCAGTCTTCCTCCCACCCCATCCCCTCCAACAGATCACCACCTTTAAGCCTGGGGGCGTTTAGTAGCAATTTTGCAGCTGCCACTGTGTGTGTAATATAGGATAATTGGTTTAAAGCGCTTGGGTATGTTTTCATGTACAGACATTGTCTACGGAAGAGGACTTAAACAATAGTTGTCCTTGGGGAGGGGACCTGGGGGACGGGTGGGAGGGAGAGGAGAGAAACTCAATTTTCACATACCTTTTGGGACTTTTTTTTTAACCATGTGCGTACATTATCTATTTTAGAAAAAAGAGAGAAACTACCTTTTTAAAAAGGAGGCACGTTTGAGTAGCCTTGAAAGCAATAGTTTACCTAGTTTCAAATGATATAGAATTGCCCTTGAAACACACAAATCTCCTTACCCAACTAGTGTTTTTCTTTTAGCTGTCTCTAAAAGTCCTCAGGGAATCAAGAGGAAGTCTTCAAAAGGGAACTCATATCTTGACAGCGTCAGTTGATGGATTTTATTGCTACCTTGATTCTGAGTTTTAATTTTGCTTGTTTGAGAATGTGTGGCTTGTCTAATTTGGGAAGAGGCCACCTTCTCTTAAAAGCACGATCGGGAGTCATCCCAGGGTTGTGCCAGACCTTATTCCAGGAGGGTAGGCCAAGGCAGGTAGGCTCGAGTAGGAAGACTCGGGGGAGACAGTCTCAGAGTGGACAGGACTGCTGTTTTAGCAGTTCAGGCATCCTTGTAATCTGCTGACCTGGGCTCAAACGCATGCATCTTTAAGGAAGCAAATTTTCAATATTGAAAGTGAATGTAAAGTTAAAACCACAGCTGTGAAACAAAAGCTGAAACAAAGCAGTCCACTGAATATCTTCAACCCATCTACTAATATCTAGAGGGCTGATTTCTCTTAGTTCTCAAATCAGTGGAGGATGAATAAATGAGTTGTGAATCTGGACTGTAGTTAGATCGTTATTTATGATGAGCCATGTATAATGGTTCTCAGTGTTGTTTTTGTGAAAGCATAAATAAATATCTGTTTCGTAATCTGCATAGTGATGTGTTAGGCTTCATAGCAGAGAATGTGGCTTGATGTCCTTCAGACAATATAAAGACCAGTGGTGTGTTTTGGAATCCAGGGGAACACTGTGGCTTCTGAATTTGTTTGCATTTTTGTGGTGGTTACATTATGACTGTGGTTTTCCTTTATTCAGTACTTCAGATTTTTTTTTCCTTTTACAGTGTTAATGGGTTTATTGCATGTGAATCTGCCTAATTCTAGAGTAATATTTTGGTAGTTGAAAAGAACATAATTGTTCTGGACTCTCAGTGGTTCTTCTTAGGTTAATTTCTAATTAGTAACTTCTTTATTTAAAAGTTATCTATTTTTTATGCACAAAATGTATATTTTTGTAGTATGTGTTATGTAATTATAGGAAAGCATTATAATCCAAATTGGAGATCCTATGAAATTCTAGCCTATATAAATGGCATTTTTACTTTTTTGGATATCCTAAATACCTGAAATTGATGAGACCAACTACCTGATACTTTTACACAAGAACTATTCTGAGTTAATGAATTTTAATTGGAATATTTAACCTTGCTACAACGTCTCTAAACTTGTTAAAGTCTACCCTTCTGAAAAGATCAAGGTTACTAATGATCTAATCAGATCTGAAGTAACCTTGCACTGTATGTATTGACTGGGCTGTTGTTCACCTAATCCTACCATTGGATCTTGCAAATGTGAATGCCGGTGAGATGCAGCATTAATCCTAAGGTACCTGGAACAATAGGGCCATTTAACTGCGATTTTTCATCTTCTTCCTATGTCAACATGTGAAAACAGCTTAAATTTTAAAATTTGCCTTCCATTCATGATATAATTTTAAAGTTATTTTGATATTATCTACTCTCTATTAGACATGTTTTTTAAGTAAGTAGAAGCCCAGCTGTGGTTATACGTTGAAAGTTCTATCAAAATTAAGTACAGTATCTGTTTGAGTATCTTTTTCCTGATTGAACCTTAAAGGATGTGATAACATCTTCAAAATCTATAGTCATGGTTGAAATACACCCTGGACACTTGTCCCAACATGTTTGAAAGTGGGTAAACTGTATCTTCTTAGTCTTTTTTTTAAAGACTGGCACCTGCGCTAACATCTGTTGCCAATGTTTTTTTTTTTTCTTCTTCTTCTTCTCCCCAAGTCCCCCAGGACATAGTTGTATATTCTTTTTTTTTTTTTAAGATTTTATTTTTCCTTTTCCCCCCAAAGCCCTTCGTTACATAGTTGTTTATTTATTAGTTGTGGGTCCTTTTAGTTGTGGCACGTGGGACGCCGCTTCAGCATGGCTTGATGAGCGGTGCCATGTCCGTGCCCAGGATCCAAACCAGTGAAACCCTGGGCGGCTGAAGCAGAGCGCTCGAACTTAACCACTCGGCCACGGAGTCGGCCCCTAAACTGTATATTCTAATAGATTTATCTATTCAAAGGGACATCAGTTTTTCCAGGAACCAATCAAGTTCCTGTTTGACCATGGGAGTGAGATCGGGGCACCAAAATAGAACCAATTCTTTGAGTTTTATGGAAGTGACTCCTGAATTTCCATACAGGAAGGTCCTGTATGGATTAATTAGCAAATACCTTCCATTGGTTAAGAAGAAAGCAGTCACATGAAGGTTACATGTTTTCAGATCTGAGTAGATGGTAGTATTTTTTTCAGAATAAACCCTCTTTAGTACTTGGTAGTGTATATTAGAGATTAAGTGAACTAGTGTTTGGAGTTAGAGCTTTCAAATATGAAAGAAATTATTTTGGTATTTCTTTCATCAGATGATGCTTAGTTACTGCCATTTTCCGATAATATTAAGGAAAGGGAAATATTGAAAAGTTGGCCCTAACACACATTTTGTTTTCTGGGCAGGGCGTGAATATTTGGACCTGGCCTGGTAGAGGAAAGAGGCAGCGTGGAAGTTAATTTGAATACCACTGTAGAAGGGAGAACTGTGTGTTGCTGAATTGGAAAGGCTGTTTCCAGGGTTTTAAAGATAACTGTGGTGATTCATTGGTAGCTGTTTCACCCCTCCAGCCTGGAACTGCGGTTCTGCACTGTGTAGCTTCTCTGGGTAAGGCCAAGGCTGGATGCCAAGGACCTGCCATCCAAGTATGGGGTTTCTCTTTTTTTCCTTTTTTCATGTCGTGACGTCTTATATGGAACTTGGCAAAAAGCAGCTCTGTGACTGCACTTTGCTCTTTAGCATCAAGCACAGGACTTCACACACAGTGGGCCTTCCGTTAAATGTTTGTTGAGTGAATGATGAGATGGACCTGCGCATGCAGATTTAGGAGCAGCTTTAACCATTTGCACAATACTTTTGAGTTCCTACCATGTGAAAGGCACTCTCAGGTACGCAGTCAGTCTTGGTTTTTACTCTCAAGAAGTTCATAATCCAAGTGACTTAGGGTTCACATGGTTCAAGATTCACAGAGAGCCAGCACTAAAAGATTTTTCATGCCTGGATTTTTGGTATCGTTTAATCATGTGCCTCAAATTTAGTGGGGGATTTAGTGTATAATCAGGAAGGGAAAATGTAGCCAAGGCACCTAAGAATTTAAGGAGAATTGTGTCGGGAAATAGACATACTTCCTAATTTCTATACTGAAAAATGCCACAGAGTGGTAGCATGTGCAAAAAGGCATAGAGAACTGTCTGGAAAAGTGCTCTGATTTATTCTTGTTAATGGCTGCCTAATATTCACAGTGTGGCTAGACCATAATTTATTTTCTTATTTCCCTATTAATAAACAATTACCTAGTTTCTAGTTTCTAGTTTTTTGGCGCCTACAGACAGTGTGGCAAATAAATATCCTTATACATAAAAGAAAAAGTTCACAATCCAATTGGATAGAGAAGACATAGGCATCTTGAATAATAACAGCCACGATTCCTTGTGCCTCTTGTGGTAGGTGCCGTATACTTCAGAACAAACCGTAGTGTGGGTACCGTTATCCCGCTCCATTTCATGTATCAGGCAACTGAGCTTCAGGAAGGCTTTGCAAGTGGTGGTTTGGTAAGGGCTGCAACTGGATTGGAACCCCCGTCTGCTTGAGTAATGCAGAGAGCAGTGATGGTAAAATCAGGAGGCGAGGAATGGAGACCCCATTTTCCAACTAACCAGTGATTTAACCTCAGAATCTCGTCACTTTTTAGGCTTCACTTTCTCCACTGGAAAATGGAGAGAGTTGGAAAAAACTGTTTCTAAGGAGTGGAAAGAGGAAGCCTGGTTGCTCAATAAATGGGAACTGTTATTCTGTGTTATCAGAAGCTAATTACATGTAGGAATAAAATTTGTGTACAAAATTCAAGGCATAGATGGAAAATTTGCTCATGTACTGTGTGCATATTTGCTGTACAAATTTTAATATTTTAGTACTAGTAGAGTGCCGGGTGCATAGTCCTTAATAAAATATTTGATTAAATAAATACATGGATGAGTAAATAAAGAAGAAAAAGTATTTCTCTCCTTCTGTTCCAATCTCTCTCAATGTGTAGGTATCCAGGAGAAAGTCTGATTTTCTATGCTTAAAGTTTATTCACTTCTCTCTTCTCATTTCGCGATTGGGGGAGGTGGTGGAGGATGATTAGAAATTATCATGAGAACAAAAATTACAGCAATAATTGTTCACATTTGTAAAAACTATTTATATTTTTAAGTGTACTTTCATGTTATTTCTTTAAATTTGTGTCTCACAACAACTCTATCAGGCAATTGGAGTAAATAATCTCATTTCAGTGAAAAGAAAAACAAGGTTCCGAGGTGAACTTGTTCATGGTCCTTATGGAGCTAATAAGTGGCAAAGCTGAATGAGGGTTCAGGGAATGAACAGGAAACCTGGTGTGTTGCTGGTGGGAGAATAGACCGGGGGAGCTGTTTTGGAAAGTAGTCTGGCATTACTTAAGCAAATTAACTAGTTATTTATTCTATGACCCAACAATTTCATTCCTACA